GCCTTGGCATAGATTCTACAAGTGTCTGGAACTTTATTGGAGGGATGCGACACCATTCTTCCACGAGAAATTCCATAATTTGGTGTTTTGTTGATGGTGGTGGAAAATGCTGTCTCAGGCGCCGCTCCAGAATCTCCTATGAGTGTTCAATTGGGTTGAGATCTGGGTACTGAGACACACACACACCCACCCACCCTTTAAACCCCCTATGCTCCTTTGAGACCCCTCTTTCAAAGTCACTGAGATCTCTTTTTCTAGCCATGGTAGCCAAAATAATGGGCCACTGGGCATTTGTATACATGAACCTAAGCATGATGGGATGTTAATTGCTTAATTAACTCAGAAACCACACCTGTGTGGAAGCACCTGCTTTCAATATACTTTGTATCCCTCATTTACTCAAGTGTTTCCTTTATTTTGGCAGTTACCTGTATCTCTCTCATCAAAATCAACATTTCCCAAATGGTGGGCCAGGAACCAGTAGTATGGTTTGATAGGGTTTCACGTCGTTGTTTCATGACACCCTCACATGGTACAGTGTCAGTGTGTAATGGTGTCTTATGGTCCCCAGGATGTCACTGTGTGATCTTCCAGTCCAGTTTCCTGTGTGGGTCATGTGAGCAGCACAAGACGTTCTTGGACACTGAGCAGTCCAGGAGGAAGTAGGGCCTGCCATACGGTTTTTGCTAGCAGAAGTCCTGGATCATTATACCAAATGCTCCACCCAGCCAGTACAACACATTGTTTTGAATAGAAATATCTGTACAGGAATTCTAAGAGTTATGGCCCACTGTTGGATTGCGGCTGATTCCTCTTTGGCCATGGCTTAAGGCTGGGCACTGGGTAGCAATAGATATTGGGCATCTTCCTGTTGTTGTTTTTTTGCAGTCAAAATGTTTAAAGCAACAAACTGACATTTCCTTCTGCTTGGTTTCAACAGAGGTCCCCACCCTGAGAAATAATGTTTTAACAGGCAGACTGAAGGACACCTTTGCCCTGTCAGACAGCACAGGCAGAGCAAAGGACCCCTCGGCACTCACTATCAGCACAAGAAAGGCTGTTTCATCATCATCATCATTCTGAGAAGGGTCATCTTTGAATTATCTTGACTGGAGTCAACTTTAAACTCATAAGATCCACATAACTGCTTAGTTTCTACATTTGTCTGAGGTCTTTTCAAATAATTTTGAAAAGACACACTGTACACTTGTATTGTATACTTTATGTCCATCAAGACTGCTCTGTTGACGCCATCATAATACTTAGGCCAACTTCTCTGACGTAGCTCTCAGTTATATTACCTTCCCTGACTGTAAACCGATACCTGTTTCGGTTTATAGGCGAGAGTGAGACTGCTTTAACTCGATACTTGACTCATAGTGGACTTCATCCAAACGCTTTTGTCCAAGAGATTGTAGGCTACTACCTGTATGGAGGCTTCATCACAGTAGTCTAAATTGGCTTCCTTTCGTAGTCTTCTGCACTTAATCTGCACTAATCTGAAAACAGAGGGTAAGAGATAGCAGATAGCAGGATTTCAGAAATTTGATATTACCTCTCAGGTTCTTTCATATCAGTGCTGACGAGGGGAAGCAGACAAAGAGAGGAATCCCCTTTTAGACTATTGCGATGCACCCTAGGTGTCTGAGTCTAAATACAGCATTGTTCAGCAATCTTATGCACTTCCTGAAATTATACGATAAGTAAACATATGATAGCCCTAGTAAACCATTCGGATGGAGGAAATGTATAAAGAGAATGAATAATAGGGAAGTATATTTACAAGGGTTAGGGTTGAACCAGGATGTGGACATGAAGCTAGCTAGGGTTAGAGTTGTGGTTGAGACAAGGGTTAGGGTTGAACCAGGATGTGGCCATGAAGCTAGCTAGGGTTAGAGTTGTGGTTGAGACAAGGGTTAGGGTTGAACCAGGATGTGGCCATGAAGCTAGCTATGGTTAGAGTTGTGGTTGAGACAAGGGTTAGGGTTGAACCAGGATGTGGCCATGAAGCTAGCTAGGGTTAGAGTTGTGGTTGAGACAAGGGTTAGGGTTGAACCAGGATGTGGCCATGAAGCTAGCTAGGGTTAGAGTTGTGGTTGAGACAAGGGTTAGGGTTGAACCAGGATGTGGCCATTAAGCTAGCTAGGGTTAGAGTTGTGGTTGAGACAAGGGTTAGGGTTGAACCAGGATGTGGACATGAAGCTAGCTAGGGTTAGAGTTGTGGTTGAGACAAGGGTTAGGGTTGAACCAGGATGTGGACATGAAGCTAGCTAGGGTTAGAGTTGTGGTTACGGTAACTCTGACTTTTTGCATACAAAAATTCTGAAATATTGTATTAAAATATGCTAATTGCTCTATCTAAATAAATATGCACATTTTTGCATATCACGCAAATCCATTTTTCTGGACATTGGATGAAGTCAGCCTAAATATTTTGGTTTTATTTTGTTAAGACACTCCAGGACCGGACTTATACATAGCAGATTGTGGATAAATACTTTTTTCCTTTTTCAATCTGTAAAATACTAAAGAACGGGAATTAAAATGCGTTTTAGCAAATAATTTTAGAAGAAAATGTCATCTAGAATACAAATTGGACAATATATCAACAATTCCCTTTGTATAAGTCTGGAAAATATGTCTAAGGATAACCACACAAAAGTTGGTGAATGCAGATGCTTCTGAGGCTAAGAAAAAAGAGTTAGCGTGTGGGAAAGGTCTGACTTTTGGGAAATGGCAGTTAAAGGCAAGTACGCTGAATTTAGACTACCAAACGCCAAACACCTATTTCGACCCAAACACCATTTCTTCAAATGAAGTTCCTACATATTGTCCAGTTTGTAACGTTCTCTATGAAATGAGCTTTTAAATTATGGATGTATGTCCATTTTAAAAGTGGTTACAATTCATGACATTTTGATGACTGTAGTATGATAAACTAACAAAAATAAAATAATTCATCAACTGCCATATTAATGGACCAAAATTGAGAAGTAGATGCAAAAATGTCATTTTAGGCTCTGGTGCCTGGCCTTAAACATTATAATAAAAACCCATACACCAATGCAACACTGTACAGTTTGCATAGTCATATGGACTTCCTGTTTGTTAGATGTAGAATCAACAAAATGGCTGCCATACAGCAGCCACTCTTCTCCCCACCCTCTGTAGCAGCCTACCTGCAGCTGGGTGGGGCTCATTAAACTTGGCAGAGCAGGCCTCCATGCACTGTCTGTGTTGAAGCGGTTCTCATTCCCTTTCAGTCCTTTGTAGAAAAAAGAGAAACAGACACCTGGTCCCTCATTGTAGTAATACTGCAGTTGGTTGTTGTCTTCCTTTCCCTCCACTGCCTTCCCCTCATTCATCTTACTACTGCAAAATGGCTCTGACAGAAGGCCACTTGTCAGTAACAAAAGTAGTTACAGTACATGTTCTCTTGCTAGTTTCGACTGAGTTCTTCAACAGCAAAATAGTGAGTTCTTCAATAGCAAAAAGCTAGGGTTAGGGTTATGGTTGAGGCTAGGATTAGGGTTGAACTGGGATGTGGACATGAAGCTAGGGTTGGGGTAAGGGTTATGGCTATGGTTAGGGTTACTGCTGTAAGTACAATGTATTCCCATTGTATGGTTAGGGTTAGTACTTTTACCCTACTTTCTATCCTGCTCTTTGACCCAAGGTTCAGGAGCTCAGCTCTGGGTTACTCCGGCTCAATGTAACCACTGTGCAGGACTTAACATTTTGAAAGTGGCCAATATTTATTTGAAGATACAAGAAAGTTTACCATAAGGTCTTGTAGTTGGGGATAGGCTTGCATTATAGGGCGGCAGGTAGCTTAGTGGGTAAGAGCGTTGTGCCAGTAACCGAAAGGTCGCTGGTTCTAATCCCCGAGCCGACTAGGTGAAAAATCTGTCGATGTGCCCTTAAGCAAGACACTTAACCCTAATTGCTCCTGTAAGTCGCTCTGGATAAGAGCGTCTGCTAAATGACTAAAATGTAAATGTAATTTCTCAATCTCTGTGTGTGAAATGCTTGATTACTCAACTACAATAAAAACATGAACACTGAAAAAGTGTTGCCAAGATACTGCCAGTCATTTCCATATTTTATAACTGAAACCATGGGGTCTGTGACCGACAGAGAGAGACACTCCCAGGTCATAAAAACCTAATGGTTGATAAGGGGTCCAAAGGACGTTCCCTGCCCGTGGACAGAAGCTCATAGAACGGGATTTGAAAACAAACTTGACATCTTTCTGTTGGGGGAATCTACAGTCTTGGCCTACCATTTACATTTACATTTTAGTCATTTAGCAGACAGCGTCAAAACGATGGCAAATCCACTCTTAAATGCATTTTTACTAGGAGTTATGCTTCCTATAGCTTCGTCCATGGGTGAGTATATTCTGTTTCTTAACATTTCTGCATTCTCTCAACGAACCCTTGTTAATCGCTTTGCTTTAACTGCTTTAACTATAGTATGTGTGCTACTGTAAGCAGGTCACTGAGCTCCTACTTTGTCATCATTTCTTTATGCCCAGTTATATCAAATCAAAATCAAAGTAAGGGAAACACAGTTACTAAATCTAGTATTGTAAATAATGTTGTATTTTTTCTCTGAAATGAATGAATTATGAATTCATTATGTAACCATCCAATGTTATGCTGAGGTTACATTTGTGAGTGGGGTCATTTCTCAATTTGATTGTGATGAATATTGAGAAAATGTTGTGAGAACAGTGAGTGTGAAGATGATGCTAAGATGCTAGGAATGGAAAAACCTTGCTTTTCAAGCACAGTTATGTCAGAATCAGAAATAAAGAAGAAATCAGACAGCTGAGATAGTTCAAACTAGATTTAGAATGCACTTGCAAATCATAAACCTAAACTGTATTTTTGCTGTTGAAGAACTCAGTCAAAACTGGCAAGCGAACATGTACTGTAACTACTCAGTGACTGACAAGTGGCCATCTTCTTCTGTCAGAGCCGTTTTGCAGTAGTAAGATGGACGAGGGGAAGGCAGTGGAGGGAAAGGAAGACCACCAACTGCGGTATTACTATGATGAGGGGGAAGACGTCTGTCTCCCTTTCTTCTACAAAGGACTGGAAGGGAATCAGAACCGCTTCAACACAGACAGGCAGTGCATGGAGGCCTGCTCTGCCAAGTTTAACGAGACCTACCCAGCTGCAGGTAGGCTGCTACAGAGGGTGGGGAGGGAGAGCAGCTGCTGTATGGCGGCCATTTTGTTAGGTGTAGATTCAACGAGGATCCTACATTTAACAAACAGGAAGTCCATATGACAAATGCAAATTGTACAGTGTTGCATTGATGTATGGGTTTTTATAATAATGGCTAATGATTAATGAACATAAAAGACAAGATATTGACCAAACCACATAATAAGGAAATAGACATAGCATACACAGCAATCCTATAATCTGATTATTATGCTACGCTAATCTCTCAAAATTATCCATTCATTTAAGGAAGAATCGTTGAGCTGTTCATAGAAGTTTGTCAAACCCATTAATATTCCTCATCTATTCTCTCTGCTCTCTCAGAGGCAGTGTGTGACCTCCCAGTGAACCATGGTAGTTGTTTTGCCATGTTGGTGATGTACTACTACAACACAGAAGAGAGGAACTGCCGTATCTTCCACTACGGGGGCTGTCAGGGCAATGGCAACCGCTTCGAGACCAGAGAGCAGTGTCAGCAGACATGCATGGGTCAGTTCACTATTTATTGTTGTGATGCCACTATTTCTCATCTCTCCCTCTGTTTGAGGTAATGACAATATACCTCAATATGTACCCAAAAATCAACAACCCATCATATTCAATATAATGAACCTACGCATTCTTATATTTCTCTCTACTGCCATGTGTAAAGGTTTGTTTCTGTATGAAATGAATGAAAATAGTTTGTAGACACTGAAGTGCATTTTAAACATTGAGGTGCAACAAACACTCATCTGACTTTAACTGTTTGGACCGTTCTTCTTTAGTCCATTAGAGGTCCTTCCTCCACCACTTCATTGCAACTCTGTCTCTATTATGCTTGTTTGTCCCGTTCATGTGAGATATTCTTCTTCTGCAGCCAAAGCAGGAAGGTTAGGTGGTGCTGTGGAACCAGGACCCAACCCAGATGAGAGTTCCACTAATGCAGGTACATCAATACCTTTTGTGCCATTTTGTACAGTTAAGAAATTAGGTCATATCTTGATGATACTCTTTGTAATTTAGCTATATTGTCGTTATGAAAGAGCTGCTTTTGTATTTTTGCTTCTTAATCCTAACTATCTTTGTTTGTCTCAGGACTGATTGTGGGTATTTTAGGAGGAATTGTGTTTGCAGTGGCGGTGATCTCTGCTATTGTTCTTTTTGTTGTCCAAAGGTAAGCAAAGGTGCAGCAATGTACTCTTACAAAGTCAATACAGTAACCTGTTTTTAAGGAAAGGGGTGAGAACCCATCTTTGAATTTCATGGTAATATCAATGTGTGTTACCTCTGGAAATTATAGATTCAGATTTAAGATTTGATTACATTGAGGTTTTAACATAATTTTTTACTTCACAGGAAAGAGAAATCAAGAAAAGGGAGCGAGCAGGTATCAACTATTGAGATGAACTAGAGATGTATCACCTTCAACAGCATTTTCAAGTTATTTTTTTGGATTTTGTTTAAATGTTGTACTCTATTTTGGTTGAATAAAAAAGGAAAATGTATCCCATGCCTTATCTATATATTTTTTGGTTTACAAACTGTGGGATGTTGACAAAGTTAGCAGGTGATGAGCATTAACCAAACTGTAAATAATACCTGCACTATTGTATGTTGAATGTTTGTAACAAGGACTGATCTGATCAACTCTCAAACTGGTCTCAGACTTATAAACTGATCAACTCTCTTTTTCAAGGAAACCTAAACACTTATTCATGTTCAAATTACAATGTCATGTTTTAAGCAGTGGAGGCTGGTGGGAGGAGCTATAGGAGGATGGGCTCATTATAATGACTAGAATGAAATAAATGGAACGGTGTCAAACGTGATTTCCATATGTTTGATGTGGTTGATACCGTTCCATTTATTCAATTCCAGCCATTACAATGAGCCCGTCCTCCTATAGCTCCTCCCACCAGCCACCACTGGTTTTGAGTTCATTATTTTACAAATAAGTCTTTCTTACAAACAATTCAATAGAATGATGAAAGGATTTCTGTTTTTAAAATTGGATATGATAATGTTTGCATTTGTACTTTATTGTACAAATGTGAAAATAAATGCATTTTCAGAATTTGGTATGATCTTTTTCTTGCAAGTTGTCCAAGCACATGGAAAAGTCAACTGATATGAAAAAGTCAACTGTTTGCTTCAGTGATTGTTTTGCTCTGTGAAATATATATAAAAAATACCACTTCCGACTTTTGATCTCCCAAAAATCCCTGTCATATAATAGACAGATTACATTTAAAATGTACTTTAGGTCTCTAAATATACAAACACTGACTATTCCCCAGCTCAAAGGCTTAAAAATTCAAACCAGGCCCTTGTGGTGGCCCATGTCTAAGTGCTTTCTACCCCCCCACCCATGAACTGTTTCACTGAGCCTCATCCCCAGCCAGGCATACAAGGTTCATTCTGCCTCAGTAGACAATTTCACTGCTTTGTCCTTAGTGACATGTGCACACAATGGATATTAGTATGTACAAAATGGAGGTGATATTCACTTATACTAGAGGGTAGAGATTTTATATGTTGTTATATAATGCTATAAGCGGCTTTGTTCATACATGATTATCATTTAGTTATGAGAAATAATCTGGAAAGATATCCAGATATTCTAACATGTTAACTCTACTGCCAATACAGTACCCTGACTGCATTTGAGTAAATCTCAAATAAATAGAAAAGTAAGAAAGAAAGAAAGAAAGAAAGAAGTCACTTGAAAGCTCCCTTTCATGTCCCAATATCAGATCCCTCCCCTTGGGACAGACATACCATAAACCCTAACCCTAACTGTAACCTCTACCCTAACCATAACATTACCCTAACCATAACATTACCCTAACCATAACCCTTACCTTAAAGGAAAACTCCACCCAAAAAGTGTATTTTGGTATTTGTTTCATTAGTCCATTGTTGATATAGTCCAAAAATGTTTTGCATGTCAGCAATCAAGTTTCAAGATATATAACTTTCAAAATACAGAAATACAGCAGGTATGATGCATTTTGCACCATATGATGTTGTGTTTTGCATCATATGACGCAAAATGCATCATTCCGGCTGCATTCCTGTATTTTGAAAGTTATTTACAGTGGGGGGAAAAAAGTATTTAGTCAGCCACCAATTGTGCAAGTTCTCCCACTTAAAAAGATGAGAGAGGCCTGTAATTTTCATCATAGGTACACGTCAACTATGACAGACAAAATGAGAAAATAAAATCCAGAAAATCACATGTAGGATTTTTTTATGAATTTATTGCAAATTATGGTTCTATGGGGTTGAGATCTGGAGACTGGCTAGGCCACTCCAGGACCTTGAAATGCTTCTTACGAAGCCACTCCTTCGTTGCCCGGGCGGTGTGTTTGGGATCATTGTCATGCTGAAAGACCCAGCCACGTTTCATCTTCAATGCCCTTGCTGATGGAAGGAGGTTTTCACTCAAAATCTCACGATACATGGCCCCATTCATTCTTTCCTTTACACGGATCAGTCGTCCTGGTCCCTTTGCAGAAAAACAGCCCCAAAGCATGATGTTTCCACCCCCATGCTTCACAGTAGGTATGGTGTTCTTTGGATGCAACTCAGCATTCTTTGTCCTCCAAACACGACGAGTTGAGTTTTTACCAAAAAGTTCTATTTTGGTTTCATCTGACCATATGACATTCTCCCAATCCTCTTCTGGATCATCCAAATGCACTCTAGCAAACTTCAGACGGGCCTGGACATGTACTGGCTTAAGCAGGGGGACACGTCTTGCACTGCAGGATTTGAGTTCCTGTCGGCGTAGTGTGTTACTGATGGTAGGCTTTGTTACTTTGGTCCCAGCTCTCTGCAGGTCATTCACTAGGTCCCCCCGTGTGGTTCTGGGATTTTTGCTCACCGTTCTTGTGATCATTTTGACCCCACGGGGTGAGATCTTGCGTGGAGCCCCAGATCGAGGGAGATTATCAGTGGTCTTGTATGTCTTCCATTTCCTAATAATTGCTCCCACAGTTGATTTCTTCAAACCAAGCTGTTTACCTATTGCAGATTCAGTCTTCCCAGCCTGGTGCAGGTCTACAATTTTGTTTCTGGTGTCCTTTGACAGCTCTTTGGTCTTGGCCATAGTGGAGTTTGGAGTGTGACTGTTTGAGGTTGTGGACAGGTGTCTTTTATACTGATAACAAGTTCAAACAGGTGCCATTAATACAGGTAACGAGTGGAGGACAGAGGAGCCTCTTAAAGAAGAAGTTACAGGTCTGTGAGAGCCAGAAATCTTGCTTGCTGTCATAGTTCACGTGTACCTATGATGAAAATTACAGGCCTCTCTCATCTTTTAAGTGGGGAGAACTTGCACAATTGGTGGCTGACTAAATACTTTTTTCCCCCACTGTATCTTGAAAACTTGATTGGAAGTATTCAGACCCCTTGACTTTTTCCACATTTTGTTACGTTACAGCCTTATTCTAAAATGGATTAAATTGTTTTTTTTCCCTCATCAATCTACACACAATACCCCATAATGACGAAGCAAAAACAGGTTTTTAGAAATTTTGGCAAATGTATTAAAAATAAAAGACTGAAAGTATTCAGACCCTTCACTCAGTACTTTATTGAAGCACCTTTGGCAGCGATTACAGCATCAAGTCTTCTTGGGTATGACGCTACAAGCTTGGCACACTTGTATTTGGGGAGTTTCTCCCATTATTTTCTGCAGATCCTCTCAAGCTCTGTCAGGTTGGATGGGGAGTGTAGCTGCACAGCTATTTTCAGGTCACTCCAGAGATGTTTTATCGGGTTCAAGTCCGGGCTCTGGCTGGGCCACTCAACGACATTCACAGACTTGTCCCGAAGCCACTCCTGCATTGTCTTGGCTGTGTGCTTAGGGTCGTTGTCCTGTTGGAAGGTGAACCTTCGCCCCAGTCTGAGGTCCTGAGTGCTCTGGAGCAGGTTTTCATCAAGGATCTCTCCGTTAATCTTTCCCTCGATCCTGACTAGTGATGAAAAACATCCCAACAGCATGTTGCTGCCACCACCATGCTTCACCGTAGGGATGGTGCCAGGTTTCCTCCAGACGTGACGCTTGGCATTCAGCCCAAAGAGTTCAATCTTGGTTTCATCAGACCAGAGAATCTTGTTTCTCATGGTCTGAGAGTGCCTTTTGGCAATCTCCAAGCGGGCTGTCGTGTGCCTTTTACTAGGGAGTAGCTTCCGTCTGGCCACTCTACCATAAAGGCCTGATTGGTGGAGTGCTGCAGAGATGGTTGTCCTTCTGGAAGGTTCTCCTATCTCCACAGAGGAACTCTGGAGCTCTGTCAGAGTGACCATTGGGTTCTTGGTCGCCACCCTCACCAAGGCCCTTCTCCCCTGATTGCTCAGTTTGGCCGGGCAGCCAGCTCTAGGAAGAGTCTTGGTGGTTCCAAACTTCTTCCATTTAAGAATGATGGAGGCCACTGTGTTCTTGGGGACCTTCAATGCTGCAGAAATGTTTTGGTACCCTTACCCAGATCTGTGCCTCGACACAATCCTGTCTCGGAGCTCTACGGACAATTCCTTCGACCTCATGGCTTGGTTTTTGCTCTGACATGCACTGTCAACCTTATATAGACAGGTGTGTCTTTCCAAATCATGTCCAATCAATTGAATTTACCACAGGTGGACTCAAATCAAGTTGTAGAAACATCTCAAGGATGATCAATGGAAACAGGATGCACATGGGCTCAATATCGAGTCTCATAGCAAAAGGTCTGAATACTTATGTGAATAAGCTTTGTCATTATGGGGTATTGTGTGTAGATTGACGAGGGGAAAAAATAATTGTAACGTAACAAAATGTGGAAAAAGTCAAGGGGTCTGAATACTTTCCGAATGCACTCTATCAGTGGTAGTCACAGGGAACCACACTGGCAGAATTCAATCACTGAGAGAGCCACAACCTTACTGCATTAACCGCAAATTAAAATGACTCAATTAAGTAGTTTTGTCTGCTAATGTAATATTTTTCATAAAAATACACTCCAAATACAGCACATAAAACAAATAGCCATGTCAAATCCAATCCAATTTTATTTGTCACATGCGCCGAATACAACTGGTGTAGACTTTACCCTGAAATGCTTGCTTACGAGCCCTTCCCAGCAATGCAGATTAAAAATAAAATAGTAACACAAGAGGAATAAAATAAAATACACAAGAATGGAGCTATATACAGGGAGTACCAGTACCAGATCAATGTGCAGAGGTACGAGGTATTTGAGGTAGATATGTACATGACACAGGAGGTTGGTGGCATCTTAATTGGGGAGGATGGGCTCGTGGTAATGGCGCGATCGGCTAAGCCGCTTGAGGAGGGCAGTCACGTGTGTTTGTGAGGCAGAGTTTGCGGCAGGTATGGGCCGAAGTGGTACTCGCTAAGCAAGCAGCGTG